CCTCAAAAAATCAAGGATAGAACTACCATATGATCCAGCTATTCCACAGCTGGGTATTTACCCAAAGAATGTGAAAACACCAATGCGTAAAGATACATGCACCCCTGACGGCAGCTTTCTAAGCAGACCCAATCTGCTCAGTCACAGTTGTCAACTTAAAAAGCAAGTTCACCTGTTATTTTATCCTCAAAATGAGTTTATTTGGGAATAACCAAAAGAATTGCAATTCAGAATGTGCATGCTGTGGTGAACCGTAGGCAAATCCAGCAAACAATGAAGGGGGCTGCTTTTACAGAGCAAAAGGGGGAGTAGAGAGGAGCTGTTTTAAAAGAAAGTTCATTGGGGGAAAGTAACAGGTAAGGGTGGCAATGACTTCTCATTGGTTGAGCTGTTGCCAGGTGGGGAGAGAAATCTTCCTTCAGTTGTAAAGCAGTTTTACTTCCTGTTGAAGATACAAGTGTCTCTCTTCCTGTTTGTTGTAGTTTATGATGTGTGATAGGGCATAAGTGCTCCCCCTGTAGACCTTCCTGATTGCAATTTAGTTAAGGTTTCTTTCATTAATTTCCACACAGTCTTCTATGGGGACCAGGCAGGAAAGTACCACTGACTGTATTTCTAAAACTCTATTAGGAATGACAAAATATTTAAAAGGAATAAGTAAGTAAAAATAGTACATCAATAAGATGACCTAATATGCACCATTTTGACACAAAGTTTTTATTATGGTATAGGAAAATAATTATATTAAGTGAAAAGATCATATTAATATTTAAGTGAAAATGCATATTTTTTTCTTTTTCTTTATAACAATATGCTATCTATACAACAGCTACAATGAGCTTATATTATAGGCAATAAATACCAAAAAGAAAAAGTGATGTCCCTCGGTAGGGATAATCCCAGTCCTATTAAAAGTCAGAGTGTCAGAGTGTTAAAGTGAACAGGTTTTGTCCTATAGACTGCTCCTCTCTTCCTTCCCATCTCATTGTTTGTTATCTATAGTTAATACATGTCCAAGACCATGGATTTAGAGCATACAGGTACTAATTCCTGGATGCTGAGAGATTGAAAACAAACAAAAAAGCACCATTTCAGGAACTCCCCTGTGACAGCCACACAAATGGTCATTATTATCTTAGAAAGGTAGGACATTGAGAGACCTGGAGGGTTTTTGAGCTGGAGTGGAATAATGAAGCAACACTGTAGAAAAATATTTTAACCATGACGTATAGAATTTTTTTGAGGAATATATTTTTCTCATTTATTCAACAAACATCCTTGAGGCCTCCTATATGCCAAACTATTCTAAGCACCGAGGATAGATGTATGACTAGGAAATGGTCCCTGCCCTTAAGGAGCTCCTAGTACAGAGAGATGTTGGGGATCTTTTACTGTTATGTCACTTATAACCATGCCACCACCACTGCCTTCGCTTGCTGTCATGTAGGTAACACTACATCATTGGCCCATTTCCCATTATTTGTAAGTATCAGCACTATAGATCTTAGAGCATAAATCTTCTTATAAAGGGCAGGGATGTTAGGTGATAAGTGTAACCAACACCATTTGATACCTCTACTATTTCAAAGGGACAGAGACAAAAATAGATCATTTGAGTACAATTTGATAAGTGCTAAGATGATGGTAAATTCAGGTGCTTTGGGAGCACTCAACCCAGCCTGGGGAATTTGGGAAGACTTTTTGGAAGTGGTGATGTCTGAACTTAGTCCAGGACGAGTAGGATTCATCCTAGCAGAGTTGGGAAAGGGCCTCCCAAGTAAAGGAAACAAGATTTCCAAAGACCCATAGGTAAGGAAGACCTTGGAATATGAGGGACAGCAAGTAATTCAGTAGAGCTGACCTGAGGAAAGGGAATGAGGGAAAAGTGGGGCAAGAGATAGCAGGACTGGTAAGCTAGTGCCAGTTTGTGATGGGTTTTATATGCCCTGATGAGGTTTAGTATTTATGTGGAGCTCTTCACAGATTTTAGAATGTGAAAGTGGTGTGATCAGATGGCATTTTAGAAAGATCTCTCTGACATCATGATGGATAACAGAGCTGCAGAGAGATCATTTGTAGGAACTTAAGCAATAAATGATGAGGGCCCTAAATAAGATATGGCAATGGAAGTGAAAGGAAGTGAGTAGAATGAAAAAGTGTTGAAATGGATTAGAGAGAACTAGATGTCAAATTGAATACGAAGCAGGATGATGACATGATTTATTGCCTCCGTTCATTGAGATAGGGAAAATCGGTTGATATTCAGGATTAGGTAGAGGTGGGAAGGAATATGTTCTGCCCATGAGTATCAGGTGGAACTCTCCAGAAGCAGGTTGGTATAAAGGTCTGGAACCTAGCAAGAAATTTGACTTAGATAAAGATTTGGAGTCATCAGCATACAGATGGCAACTAAAGCCATGGAAGTGGTTGAGACGACCCAGGAAAGATGTAGAACGAGAAGATAAGTATTAATATTTGCTTTGGATATATTTGTTTTCTGAATAAATATCACTTGATAATCTAATATCTCTTATTTAGTTTGTTGTTTTATCCCTCCTGAATCAGTGTCTTCCTTATTTAGACCATTTGGAAAGAAGTAGACCACCCATCATGAAAATCGAAACTATGCCTTTTCAAACACTGAAATCTGAAGTACAAAGTCAAGTCTGAAAGTACAAAGACTTTAATAGTATAGTGCGTTTAGAGCAGATTCCTTTTGCTCATCTGCATCTTCTTTCTAAAATACAGTTTATAACTTTTATAGACAATTTTGTTTTAATTTGAAAAGAGCATAATAACATCTGTTAGTTATTACTATTTTTATTTACAATACTAATAGTGGAGAGAAAACATACAGGCTTCATCTCTGAAGCACTGGGTATTTCCCCGGCTCTGTAATCACCTCGCGTGTGGTGAATCAACACTGCAGCTACCTGGACAGAGGACAGAGAGCGTACGAAGCCTGTCTTGTCTGGTTTTGTCTTCTTGAACATACCTCCCCCCAGTCATGACCTGCACGTGGACCTGAGTTATTGTGGCGCATCACAATATACTTGGGGTTTTGTAGGTATTCATCACTAATGGGTGGCTAAGTGACGTTGTGATGGTAGTGGCAGTCACAAATAGTGAAGATCACTCTCCCATCCATGGCATTAGCGTTTTTCTGGTGGAAAATGGAATGAAAGGATTTCTCAAGGGACAAAAGCTGCATAAAATGGGACTAAAAGCCCAGGTAAGTCATAATATAAATCATATTCAGGTAATAATTGAGCTTACTCAATTATTAATAAAAATTATTATTTATAAATAATTGAGTTTACACAATTATGCCTCATATATAGAACTACGTATAGTACAATCATACCTTCCTATGCTAAATTCCTAAAATATGCTTTTCAGAAACGATAATGAAGATTTATTCCAGCATTTATGCAAACTGTGTCTCCTTCTGGTGGTCAGCAATGGAAGTGAATTTTAAATGTCTGCTTTAGAAATGGCAAAATCAACTGCATGATAACAGGGCCTCTATTTATGAAATTGATTGAAGAAAATTTTGAAATAAGAATGGAAAATTTTTTTTTGGTTAATTGGCAAATGTTTTATTTTTTTCATTACCAAAAAGAAAAACATGTTTTACTTAATATGCATTAGAAATCCTTAGTCCTCACTACCTACAGGACTGGACAGAATTGGAGCTAGAATGACAGTGTATTGCAGAGGGAAAGCCACAAGATTTGGAATCAGATGGACCTGGGTTAGAATCCCTAGTTTACCACTTGCAAATTGTGTTCATTAACCACTCCAACTTGGCTTCCAGTTTGTTTTGTTTTTGTTTTGTTTTTTTCTTAAGTGGAAATAATAGTCCCCTCATTGGGTTATTGAGAGATTTAAATGAGATGATTCTGTACTTAATCATATGATCTCTTAGGATACTGTAGAATTATTCTTTGAAGATGTACGGTTGCCAGCTAGTGCCCTACTTGGAGAAGAGAATAAAGGCTTCTATTACCTCATGCAGGAGCTTCCACAGGTCAGAAGTATTAAAGATTTTATCTTTCCATTAGATAATGGACTTGCAATAGAATAATAGAGAACTATATAAACCTATGCATACAAAACTTGTGATATAGCCAATCATTTGAGTATAATTTAAAGTCGTAAATAAAAATACGAGTTTTGTAGGCTAGATAAGTAAATAACTGAACTCAGGGGTATCCAATCAAAGCTTATAAGTGAGTTAGAGAAAATAGATATTTCAGTTCTGTGATTCTTTCTTGGAATGATTTTAGCTTCTTAAGTACAAGTCAAGAATTCTTACCTCTTTGTAAGGTAGTATCAGCCAAGACATTTGGCAGGTTTTTTTAATAATACTTAAGAATCAAAGGGGAGGGGCCGGCCCCATGGCTAGCGGTTAAGTGTGCGCTCTGCTACTGGCGGCCCGGGTTCGGATCCTGGGCGTGCACTGACCCACCGCTTGTCCGGCCATGCTGAGGTGGCATCCCACATACAGCAACTAGAAGGATGTGCAACTATGACATACAACTATCTACTGGGGCTTTGGGGGAAAAAAAAGAGGAGGATTGGCAATAGATGTTAGCTCAGAGCCGGTCTTCCTCCGCAAAAAGAGGAGGATTGGCGTAGATGTTAGCTCAAGGCTGATCTCCCTCACAAAAATAAATAAACAAAGGGTGTAGCCTTAAAAAAAAAAAAATCAAAGGGGAAAGCTGTTAAGTTCAGACTGAAAAGTTTTGGCCACATAGGATCAGCCCTCACATCTGTGTTTTGGGTGTGGTTTCTGAGTGATCGTTGAGCCTCACATGCCAACATAAGAGGGTGCACCTGCCTAGTGACTCCATGGCATGAGCTAAACATGAAACTGGAGACAAGGGCTGGGAACACTGGCATGGACATAGAATATGAAAATCACCAGCAAGATGGAATTAAACTGACTATGGATACTTTTGCACTAATAGGCAAAATTTAAACTATGCACTTTAAGATGTTGGTTTCCACAGATATATTAGGATATGTGGTGTGCAGAGATCAATAATTTTGAAATTTCCTTTCTCATAAATGAGTAAAGAGATGAGAGCATTAAATAAATTACATAGATATCTATATATAGTAAAGACAGTCACTCATAAAAATAAAGGTTTGCTTTAGAGAATTATTACAGATATGTTAAAATATTCTTATAAATGTCTATGGGAGCCATTTGTTATAAAGAGTTAAGAAATAAATTAATCTTTAGGATTTTTATAAAGATGATTTATAGAATTTATTATTATTGGAATCAGGTAAAAATCACTTTTGTAATTAGAATAATGTTCAAGACCTAATTTGGGGGTTACAGGAAAGGCTGTTGGTTGCTGAGTTGGGAATTTCAGTCAGTGAATTCACATTTGAAGAAATGAGGAACTACGTTAAACAAAGAAAGCTTTTGGGAAAACAGTTGTGCATATACAGGTAAGCTAGTCGTCATGGTTTACTATTAGATGATATCAGTTTACTCATCTGAAATGGGTCTAGGCTAGACATAAATATGGAGTAATTTTAATATAGGTGGTGTTAGAATCCATGAGAGTGGATGAGGTCACTGAGGGAGAGAGGGTAGAGAATAAGACAAGAAGGGGTCCTAGAACAGAGTCCTGACAAAGATTACAATATTTAAAGGTAGAATAGGAAAGGAAGAGCTTACAAAGACAACTGAGAATGGGCAGGCAGAAAAGAGAAAGCAAATCAGGCAAGTGTTGTCACAGAAGCCAAGAGAAAGAGGACTTCAAGTAGGAGGGAGTGGGGCTAGATGCTGCTTAGAGGGTAAATAAGATGGTTCAAAGAGTGCCCATTGGACATAATGACATGGAGGTTATTTCATAAGAGCCATTGATGGACTGGTGTGGGGGTGGTGCCAGGCCTGGGTGAGTAGAGGAGGGAATGGAAACAAGGAAGTAAAGATACTGATGGCAGGCAACTCTTTCCTGAGTTTGGCTGTGAATGGTAGTTGAGAGAAAGGGTGGTAACTGGGGCACAAGAAACAAACAATTTTTTGTTATTATTAGGATGAGAATACTGGAGAATATTTTAATACCTAGAGAAAGGATTTAGTAAAGAGGGAAAGATTGTTAAATATGGAGAGGATGATTAGCTGTGTATGATATTTGAGAAAGTGTGAGGGTGTGGGTGCCAAAGCACCTGGAAAGATAGACCTTCCCACCCTGAGAGGAGAGGTCCTTCCTCCTTTGTAGCAGGAAGAAAAGAGGAAAGGATGGGCAGGAGGTCAGCTCTGTTGATAGAAAATTGCAAAAGCTCTCTTCTGAAGACTTCCATTTCCTTAAATAACAGTAGGAAAAGTCTGTTCTTGAAAGAGATAGAAGTGAAGAGGGCATGTAGGTGTCCAAAGAGAGTGAGGAAGGTTTGAAATACCCTTTCTGAGTGAGAGACTGAACTAACTAGAAAAACATAGTAAGCCTGCGTGCAGTATTGAGGGCTCAGATGAGGTTATTGACCATGAATTTACAGTGATGCTTTCTGCTTTTTTGTGCATCAGTTTACTAGAAGAGTTCAGCTGCCCAGGTTCAAGCATAGAGAAGGTGGATGATTGTGTTTAATTAAGGTTGGGTTTTACCAGGAAGTTAAAGGTATGTGCAGAAGAATTCAGTATATAGTGGCCTTAATCTCTAACCATGCCAATCAATTTTAGACCCTCTAGTTTCTTCTTAAATGAAGGAACAGTTTATAAACAATGCAGTCATCAAATTGCTGAAACATTTTACAGCAAAAAACCTGGAATTGGAAATCTACTTGAAAAGTTTTAAGGTTCTAGGTACTTTCGCCATAAGCAGCTTTACTGTAGACATATTTGCCACAAGGATTTTTGCTGCAAACATTTTTGCCACATAACTAATTGGCTGCAAGGTAATTTTGTCATAATGGGTAAAATAATGAAAAATAAAAGAAGGACATTTTAAAGGACATAATGAAAAATGAACAACAAAATTAAGAAGACTTTATTGTGAAATACAAAATATTTGAGTACATTTAAAATGTGTATAGATTCATGGCAATACTGTGCAAATAACTGATTTTATTTTGTGGATTGTACCTAAGCATTTGTCTTTGAAGTCTTCCATTCATACTATTATACTTTTTTTTTTTTTGCTTGTGAATCATCTCCTCACTCGGCATCCATTGCACTTTTTCTTTTTCACTAAAATTTCTTCCTTCTTTGAGAGGCATCAGTTTCCAAATACTAGGAGGCATATTTGTAACTGAGCTCTGTATTGTGTTGTGAAAGCCCTCTACAATGTTGTCTGTTCTGGGCATATTGTCACATGTCCATTGATAGACGTTCCAAAGTTCTATGGGAAATGTGAAGCTAAGATTTATATAATAATGTTGACCTTAAACAAATAGACAGCTGGTTATTTCTCCAGCACAAATGGATTTATTTGGGATCATCAAAGAATTGCAATTCGGGGTCTGCAGCCATGGTGAGCCGCGTGCAAGTCCCCCAGCAGCAAGGGAGGAGAAACTCTTTTATAGAGGGGAAAAGGAGGTTGGGAGGACTATTGGAAACAAAGAGTCCATGAGAGAAATTGAGAGTTTGATGTGTAGTGGTTTCTGTTTGTTAATTTGACATTTCCTCCTTTTGATCAAGGTCTTTCTCTGAAGGCATTGCTGATCAAGAGTCAGGTTTTTCTGGTTTCGCAGCTTTTCTTTCCTTTATGCAAGGAAGAACTCAGTGTCCTATGGGGGAAAAGTGCATAGATTGGAAACCTATTGAGGCCACATTTGAGTAACAAGGAGGGGTAGAGGGAGACCTCTTTGCATTTTTCTTTTCTAAAATCCATATGTTATCAAGATCGTAGGCATCGGAGATTACCTGAAACATTATCATCATCAAAGGTTTGGCAGACAAAATTCCAACAGGCCTGGTCCTGACATCTTGGGCAAGCTGTATCATCAGATGTCGTCTCCTTCAATTGTGGGAAATCTTTACTTTCAGGTCACCAGATGATATGCAGGTCCAGTCAGAGTTTAGTGCTTTCTTTAGGTGTGTCATGTGAATCCAAGAGGTCTGTTCCCTGGAGTTTTGTGGCACAAGGTTTAGTTAACAGTACTTCATAGGGGCCTTTCCAGTGAGGTTGAAGAGAGTCCTTCTGAAGGTGTCTTTTCCAACAGACAAAATCTCCAGGTTGCAAAGTGTGATGCTTAAGGTCTTCCTCTCCCTGAAGTGCACTGTGAAAAGATTGCTCTACCAAAACATGGTTATTTTTAATAGAAGCAATTAGCCTTTGCAATATTGGAGTATATCTCCTTTTATCAGCTGTGGGTCAGAAGAGGCTGGAGCCAAGTGCATTGGGCATCCTGTGACTCTCAAAGGGCGACAGTTTGTGAGTTCTAAAGGGGGTGGGTCTGAGATTTAGAAGGACCAATGGCAATGCTTTTGGCAAAGGTATTTGTAGGGTCTCTACAAATTTCACCAGTTGAATCTTAATAATGCCATTAGTGCATTTGACTAAACCGGAGGATTGAGGGTGGTAAGCACAGAGAAAGTGTTGTAAAGCCAGCCAAACAGCACAGACTGGTTGGAGTACCTGACCAGTAAAATGAGTTCCTCAATCACTATGTAGCTCGAGCAGAGTTCCCCAGGTAGAGATAATCCTTTCCAAAAGGATGTTAGCCACAGAAGAGGCAGTAGCCTGTCTGCAAGGGAAGGCTTTAGTCCAGTGAGAAAACATACAAACCAGGACTAAAATATATTTATATCCATGAGATGGGGGAAGTTGTATGAAATCCATTTGCCAAACCTCGAATGGTCCATTAGGCAGTTTAAAATATCCAGAAGTGGTACAAACAAGCTTCCCTGGATTGTACTCTGGACAAGTGGGAAAAGTGAGGTAGACAGTTTTTGTGCCTTCATTAATATTTCCTCACCAACATTGAATCATGAATGCTATCATTTTGTCAGTAGACCAATGAGTTAATGCAGGTACAGTGGTGAAGAGTGGGAATTTTAGAGTCTGGTAGGACTGGGTTGTTATTTAGTACAAACCAGAGCTTTCTCTTTTTATCAAACCAAGAACTGTTGAATTTCCAATCTTGTTTTTCCTCTTGGGCCAATTGTTTGGCCAGTTTTTCTAAGTCATCATCTGGGGAAATATCCCTTTGCACGATAACAGAGGCTTGGCTCTTGTTGGTTCCTCTAAGGGCTGCATTTCTTGAAGAAATGTCAGCAAGGTGATCTTCTTCAGCTTCCTGAGAGTCAAGTTTAGGATACCCTAGGATCTTAATGATAGCTAAAGTGGCAGGTAAATGTATAACATCCAATAATTCCTGAACATAGGTGCCATTTTTAATTTTATTTCTGCTGGAAGTGAGGAAGCCATGTTGCTTCCACAACATTCCCAAATCATGAGCTACTTAACTCCAAAAGCATATCTGCTATCAGTATAAATATTGGCAGTTTTGCCCCTGGCTAAAGTACAAGCCTGTGTAAGAGCGTATAATTCAGCCTGTTGGGCTGAAGTAGCCTTAGGTGAAGGTGCTTCCTCAACAATATCAAAAGGAGTGGCAATAACCTACCCAGCACAGTGTTTGCCGTTGTCATCTTTTAAATAAGGATCATCAGTAAACCATGAGAAGTCGGCGTTACCCAAAGGAGTTTCCTGCAGATCATAACGAGGAATCAGGAGGTGATTTGTCAGTGTTAAGCAGTTGTGAGGGACTTTGTCAGGAATAGAGAAGAGAAGAGTAGCAGGGTTAAGTTTATTACAGCTAAAAGAGTTGAGGAGCAGTTAACAAAAGGATTTCATAAGAGATGGGGTGGCTTGCTGAAATATGTTTAGTGTGATGAGAATTCAGGAGGGCTTCTACTGCATGAGGTACAAAAATTGTTAAAGGGGATCCCACAACAATTTTTTTGGTGGCCTTAACCAAAAGGGCAGTGGTAGTAATGGCTCTAAGGCAAGGGGAGGTATCCTCATGCCACAAGATCCAGTTGCTGGCTACAATGCCCTGTGGGTTGATGGTGGTCCTGTGTTTTGGGATGAGTACACCAAGGGCATTCCCTTCCTTTTCATATACAAAGAGAAAAAGGGAGTCTAATAATTGGGATGTCCAAGGGCAAGTGGGTTCATTAAATTCTTCTTTAAGGCCTTAAGGCTATGTTGTCTGATTCTTCCCATAAAATTGGGCTGGGGTTCTTGTTGTTTAGCAAAACATATGGGATGTTTGGCCATAAGAGAGAAAATTGGAATCTAGTTTTAGCAATAACCAACTAGCCCAGGAAAATCTTGTAGTTGGCACTTAGTTTTAGGTTTTGGGAAACTTAGGACATCATGAAGCCTATCTGGATCTAGATGTAGCCCTTATTCTGATATCAGGTGCCCTAAATATGGCACCTGGGTTTCAGCAAACTGCAATTTCTCCTTGGTGACCTTATGTCCCTTTAAGGCTAAAAGCTT